TCAGCCCCCTGGGGAGTCAGCCCCACAATTTGTACAATTTTGAATCCCTGCATCCCATGAATGCTTTTGATTAAATATGATCGATATCCAGTGCATAGTTCTACAGAAGAAGTCGTTTATAGAAATATAGCCAAATTACCCTTTCTGGCCCCGCCTCTCACCCCCCTGGGGGGTCAGCCCAACCATTTGTACAATTTTGAATCTCCACCACCTAGGGATGCTTCCAGTCTAATATGGTTGATATCCATCACTTGGTTCCAGAGAAGAAGTCGCTTAAAGCAGTTTAGCCAAATTGCCCCCTTTTGGCCCCGCCCCTCAGCCTCCTGGGGGGTCAGCCCCACCATTTGTACAATTTTGAATCCCCACCACTTAGGGATGCTTCCAGTTAAATTCCAATCAGTGGTTAAGAAGAAGAAGTCGTTTAAAGAAATTGTTGACGGACAGACGGACGACGGACGGACATAAGCTCACCTTGGTCCTTTGGACCAGGTGAGCTAATAATGTAAATCCTTTCAATATAAGAATGATTAGTTCTGATATGCAAAATTGCCAGAGTTCCATGTAAATTGTAATATTTCAATATTGCTGAATCTTATCCAAAGGACCTGAAATAACTAGTATATACCTGGTATATTTTATATTCAGAGATCGATTTTCGGAACTTGAACCTCAGGGTTTTTTTCAAAAATAATTTGGTGCACAAAATATTTGAGTTGAAGCTTTTTTGGGGATTTTCAGCCTTAAAAACTTCCCGCTCAAAGTACATAGGTGCGCAAATTACATGGGTTTTTTTGGTATACTTTACCTTTTGGGGGCCTTTCCACGACAGTCTCGTTAACCTGGTCCTCTGACTCGCTGATCACTTCCTCTGCATCACTGGAGAATATCAAAGGACATTATTGATAGTTATTAACCTGATTATTGTCTTCTAAAATGATATCTTTAATTTGCACAAATTAAGTAAGTAAGTCTGTATTTGATTTTAGGATTTCTTTAATGTTTTTTTCCACATTATTTTTGTTCAAGATTTATGATAAGGGAAAATAATCCTATCTAGCATAAATTATATTTGAAAAAGGATTTTTTTAACCTTAATTGTATAGGTCTATCATGTGAAATGTGTGAAAAAAACAGTGTTGTTAAAAATGCTTTGATAACAAAACAGGAGAAATAAAATTACCTGGTATGCGTCACAAGGGTAAGATGTTGTTTACAGTTAGTGTAATTTACTTATAATCTTACATCTAGCTACTTACAAGTCCAAAACATTGAATCAAGAAAATCATATGATCCTTTGGGACTTAGTGCACTGCATACACTCAACTACAATATTCAAAATAGGAAAACAATAATCTTGATACCTTCCTGCACTTTCTGTGGAAACTTTACCTTGGGAACCAGTGCCCACTGTTGGAACTTTACCATAGTAACCAAAGCCCCCTGTTGGAACTTCCTTGGTAACCAGTACCCGCTGTTGAAAATTTACCTTGGTAACCAGTGCCCCTTGTTGAAACTTTATCTTGGTAACCAGTGTCCCCTGTTAAATCTTCACCCTGGTAACCAGTACCCCCTGTTGAAACGTAACTCTGGTAACTTGTGCCCCCTGTTTAAACTTTACCTTGGTAACCATTGCCCCTGCTGAAAATTTACCTTGGTAACCAGTGCCTCCTGTTTAAACTTTACCTTGGTAACCAGTGCCCCTGCTGAAAATTTACCTTGGTAACCAGTGCCCCCTGTTTAAAACTTTACCTTGGTAACCAGTGCCCCTGCTGAAAATTTACCTTGGTAACCTATACCCTTTGCTGGAACTTCTCTGTCTGTGCAGGTTTGTCCCCTCAAACTCACTATCTGGCACTAACACCTCAGCATTTTCTGGACAGAAAGAATTCTATATTTATACAAGAAAATTCTGTTGAAATTAAAACATAGCTTCAAACTGTAAAAGGAATGCTCCATTTACATCAGCATTCATTATATGTATTTTCAAATCGTAACATATTCAGTCCTCAATATTCAAAATTATTATTTATTTCAGTTGTCCTTAAAAAATATGCCATTACAAAATAGAATCAGTTACTTTAGTACGTGGTAATTAAAAAATGAAAATTATATTACTATAAAAATTTTGAATTGTCATTACTCATTAGGCCTTTGCAATAAGGCAAGATAAAAAATGTCCATTTCTAAAAAAAAAAGCAGTTGACTAAGGAGTAATTATTTTATAACAGTTGTGCTTTCTTCAAGAAAGCTATGAAGTTGAAAAAGTAATGCCTGTATTATCCTTACTTATATTATTTTTGTAAAAATAAGAATAACTGTGTACTCAAAATGTCACCTAATTTTCGTTCATCTTCAGAGAGGTCCCCAATCAGACCCAACCGCCTAGTCTTGCTTGGCTGTATGTTATTATTGGACTGCAAGTCCATCTGAAATTGAAAAGAAAGATAAATATGTACTATATTGTATACAATTACCATAGCAGAGAACTTTTCATTGCATTTATATAGAAAATTGTTTAAGCCCAAGCACACTAAAGTATGTACCCAATTTGATTGGGCAGGTTTGGTTTTGGTTTGTTTTTTTACGTCCTATTAACAACTATGGTCAATTAAGAATGTGCCAGGTTTTGGTGGTGGAAGAAAGCCGGAGTTCTCAGAGAACATCACCGACCTACGGCCAGTGCCTGGCGACTGCCTCATAGAGGCCTCGAACCTGGGCCCGAGTGGTGGAGGGCTAGTGGTAGCAGAATGTTTGACGCCTTAATCACCTGGTCACCCCTGACCCATTTTGATGACTGGTACACCTACAAATTACATCAGTATTTGACTTAGACATTACCATTGGAAGTTGTAGAGCAGGCCAATTTTCCTGTATTTCGTCAGCCTGTTCTTGAGAATCAAGGACAATAAATTTAGATGTGCCTGTCTGACTCTGTTGTGTCTGATTGATGCTCCATTCATCATCCATATTTAATTTCTTTTCATGCTTATGGCTTTTCACTGTCCTGAATTAATCTGTAAACAACAAAAAATGAACAGTTTTTAGTTACATATGCATGAATCTATCTATCTATCAACACATTAATACCAAAAAATTGCAATTGCCCATACTTCGACAACATGACACTTTTACAGCAAATTGAATAGCAAGAATATTTCTCGGGAACAAGATGCATGTTATTATTTCTTAATGATTGTCCTCTGTTCATCAAAATTAAGTCACAGATTCAGATAGATACCAGCAAGACCCCTAAATGAGTACCTGAAAGATAAGAGACAAAGCCATGCAATCTATCAGAGCTAAAAATTGTAAGGACTGTTAGTAAATAACAGTTGATATACATGTGTGCAACAACAACAGATGATTTCAAGCAATACCATATATGAGATAGAAAAGTACATGGATTTTTTTTTGTACAGACAGTATAAATAATAGACTGTTTAAAGTTTAGGGCGACTGGATTAGGTCAATTTCAACCAACCAGGTAGCTCAATTGGTTACAGCATCTGTCTAGAGTTAATTGGAGGTCCAGGGTTCAAATCTCAGTCTGACCTTTGCATTTAATTTGTCCTAGTTTCCTGCTAGACAGGTTGAATCTCTTGTCTGACAGCATATATGTTGTCCTGCAAAGAAGTGTCCATGATTCAAGATAGATTTGTCCTTGAATCAATCAATATTGTCTAAGAAATGCAATGCTTACTCTCATCCGCTGTTAAATAAACAGTGTCCAGGCGATATTATACAGACGACTGATGCTAAATGCGTGTCCCCGGCTCTTGTAATCCTTAACTATTGTCAACAGTCACTACCTCAATTCTGTTGTAACCCATACTATCCGCTTCCCTTTATGTAATATGATGTGCATAAGGTTGCCACATATATTGATTGAGTAAGCTTCATTTTTAGAAACTTACTGATTTTGCACATTCTAAAATTCCCGCGTTAGAGTTTATGCGAACTACGCACTGTGCTCTTCAGCAAATTTGGTGCGGCCTTTTCTTTAACGCCACATTAGATACTATATATGTGAACTGTTACTGTTATTCAATTCCCTAAAATCGTAATCGTTTAAATTACCGTCGTGTTTCCTAGCTGGAAATGCATGCCAATGTTTGTGTTTACACTTTCGACCCACTGTCAGTCCTTGAACAGGAAGTCACGTTGGGAACGTACGAAAACGAGACCTCCTCAGTTGTCCTTTCTTCCGGTAGTAGCCATACTGATCGGCACCGATCAGCATGAAGGTGAAAAATATTTAATTATCCATTTGTTACAGCAATGTATTGAAAAAATAAAGTCATATATATTGACATGAATGTTAGTTCTAAATATCCCATGCAACAATTGGATGATATAATGCCTGATATTACCTAGATTGGTTGGATTTTCCTTCACATGTATAAACAATTTTACGCCAGTCTATGGGATCGGAGAATGAATGTTGTAAATAAAGTTATGTGGTACTATTATACTTATTTTGCATATGGTATATAAAAGTTAGCATCCATATCACATATCTCGTTTAGGTTTGTGATGTCTGCTATGGAGGAATATATGATAGACATGTCGGGCCATGGGTATTTCTGCGATACCATACCTTTCGGAAATTCTGCAGTGGCAGATCGCACGTTCTTGTTTACAGTTTTATTTAGAAGATGACGACAGTCTTTAATTTAATCTGACAACCAATCTCCACAACGCCCTGTGGTCGGATCTAAGATTTGTTAATGGTAGAGCTCCAAACATCAACACCTTTTCCATTTTAGGTGTAGGACTTGAGTGTGTGTTGGGGGGGGGGGGGCTCCCAAACAGTGTGGCCCACTTCAATTGTAACTGATCAGATTATATGGAACTGCCAACATTTTTATGTGGTTTAAATATCTTGACCATTGTTGATATAATATGTATATTTTAAAACAAGTTTTAAAACATTCACAAACATTAAATTTATTTTGCTTTTATTTACAGCTGAATATATCATATCCGGCCACTGGCTGTCAAAAACTAATTGAAGTCGATGATGAGAGGAAGTTGCGTCCATTTTATGACCGGCGTATTGCAACTGAGGTCTCTGCAGAACATCTTGGAGATGAATGGAAGGTAAAATAAATCTTGAAAGGGGGAATATTTGCTATAGAGTTGTCAAGAAAGCCAATGATTTTGAGAGCAAAATTTAAGAAAATTCATATTCAGTAGTGAGTTCTCACTCTGGGTCCAAATGGAATTGGCAACACAACAAGCATTGTCCGATTTGGATGTTTGTTAAGATAAAACGTCTTGGTCAGTATTATATTCAGATTAAGTTGCACAAATTTCACAAATTAACGGGGAACAAATCTGGTCACTAGGATGACAATTACAGTGATCAATCTACAAATAGTTTGTATGGGTCTTTTTCCACTGGATGGTCAAGATATGGGTCCTGACCCCGACATGTTAAATTTCAGTATTTCAGAAATTCTATGAGTCAGATCAAAATTCTATTGGTACAGGACTCGCATGTAGATTTATCACTGTTCAATTATGTACCAAGCTTACCTACAGATGAGAAGTAGAAATTTGAAAAAAGTGAAATCTTATAGACATGTTAAAAGAAGGCTGGATATTTTTTTGTGAATTTAATAATACTTACCCGTCTATAAAATTAATCTAATAGACCATACCTTTATTATCATAGATAGGAGCTAGTGCTGTATTTGATCTGATGGCTTCATTGTAAGAAATTTAAAGTAACGCTTATCATGTTTTACAGGGTTACATTCTGAGGATAACGGGAGGTAACGACAAGCAGGGGTTCCCAATGAAACAGGGAATTCTCACCAATGGCAGAGTGCGTCTTCTTTTGAGCAAAGGTCACTCTTGCTTCAGACCCAGGAGGAGTGGCGAGAGGCGCAGGAAGTCTGTCAGGGGCTGCATCGTAGACAGTAACCTGAGTGTTCTGTCTATGTCTATTGTCAAAAAAGGTACGCTGCTGTTAGTACTAACAGAAATATTACATATATGCATAACATAGTGCACCTTTTTAAATGAAATCAAATATTACTAGCAAATGAACAAAAGAGTTAATCGTATGGGGCAAGTATCTTGCATGTTCTGCAGTTACTACATGTACTTGCCCTGAATAATATCCTGTACTTAGGTTGGTTTTTAATTCTTGGCTTAGTGTTATAACAAAAAAATGCAAACGCAAATGTTTTACCTGGTAATGTCCATAGGGCTATTCTGTTTGTGAAAATATGGAGAGCAGGGGGGCACTTATTGCTGATGTGTAGTGGGATCTAAAAATAATAATCATAGATATCAACTTTCTGGATAGTTTTGGTAACAATGACATGTATAATAGATGCAACTTGTAAGCTAACTTAGCAAACACAGTACCAATGAGGACAACTATACACCCAGCTCGCTTAGAGACTCAAAGTGGGTCTGTGAAGAGAGAAAAATCTGAGGACTGTGTTGGATATTTTTAGAAAACCTTGCAATATCTCGAGATGAATCAGGTTTTTTTATGTGTCAGCTTTACCACAATTGCAAATTATTACATCATTTAAATACACGAAAATAAATCAAGTGATACTTGTTTACATTGTTCCCTCCATGATTATGGTAACATTGTAATAAATACTTTTATAAACTCAAATTGTGTCTGTGGAGCAAACAAACCTTAAAGGATTGGACACACTCGATAGGTATAGGCCGAAATACACAAAAGAAAATTGGGTTTCAGCTCAACTGGTCAAAAGATTGGTAACGTTGAATATTGCAAAATACATTTTAAAAGATACAAAATTGGATTTTGATTCAAACTTTCTGTTATCTTGACTCGTTAAATACATTTATGTATATCAAAATCAGCAAAACAAAATGAAACATGACAACATTTATGATATATTACTGATATCACAGTCACAATGATGACAATTATACACCCAGCTCGCTTAGAGACTCTAAATGGGTCTGTGAAGAGAGAAAAATCTGAGGACTGTGTTGAATATTTTTAGAAAACCTTGCAATATCTCGAGATGAATCAGATATTTATTTTAATGTGTGTCGGCTTCACCACAATTGCAAATTATTACATAGTTTCAATACACAAAAATAAATCATACTGGTGTTGAATTTCTAAAATGATGCTTGTTTACATTGTTCCCTCCATGATTATGGTAACATTGTAATAAATACTTTTATAAACTCAAATTGCGTCTGTGGAGCAAACAAACCTTATAGTATTGGACACACTTGATAGGTATAGGCCGAAATACACAAAAGAACATTGGGTTTCGGCTCAACTGGTCAAAAGATTGGTAACGTTGAATATTGCAAAACACATTTTAAAAGAGAGAAAACATTCTTTTCATTCATACTTTCTGTAATCTTGACTTGCTAAATACTTTTATGTATATCAAAATCAGCAAAACTTAAACTTAATGAAACTGACAACATGTATGATATATTACTGATATCACAGTCACAGTGATGACAATTATACACCCAGCTCGCTTAGAGACTCAAAATGGGTCTGTGAAGAGAGAAAAATCTGAGGACTGTGATGTTTCCGAAATCTGATGGATGTGTTTTAGAAAACCTTGAAAATGTCTGATAACTATACTATACCACAGCTACAAATTATTGCATCATTGCAATTGAAATACACAAAGATTACTCGTACAAGTGTAGAATTTCTGAAGTAATATGTATTCCCAATGTTCCCTCATAAATCTGAACTACTTCAATTATTGTTTGTATAGTTGTGGACATGATAATGGTTTCATTGTAATAAACACTCGTAACGACGTAAAGTGGGTCTGTGAAAGCGCAAAAAAATATTGTATTAAGACACACTTGAAAGATAGTAGCCGAAATACTCAACAAAAGTTGGGTTCAACTCAACTGATCAAAAGATGTCTGCTGACACAATGCATTAGTTTTTGCAAAAGAGACTTTAAAACATCAATTTTTCTATTTTTGCTATAATATTGACTTGCTAAGATACTATATAGAAATCAGATTAAGTTAATGACACTGTCACTATGTATGTTCTATCACTGATGACAGTAACAATGACAACTATATACCCAGCTCGCTTAGAGACTCAAAATGGGTCTGTTAAGTTTCTAAATCAATTGTTTAATTTTTAGTTTGCCTGGTCCAAAAGGCCAAGTGGGATTAAACAGGTATACATACACATACGTATCGGTATTTAGTCCGTAAATAAGAGACAATACCATTAAATCTGAAACTGATATTATTTATGATATATTACTGATATCACAGTCACAATGATGACAATTATACACCCAGCTCGCTTAGAGACTCAAAATGGGTCTGTGAAGAGAGAAAAATCTGAGGACTGTTGGATATTTTTTTAGCAAACCTTGCAATATCTCGATAATTATTACATCATTTAAATACATGAAAATAAATCAAGTGATACGTGTTTACATTGTTCCATCCATGATTATGGTAACATTGTAATAAATACTTTTATAAACTCAAATTGCGTCTGTTGAGCAAACAAACCTTTNGAACATTGGGTTTCGGCTCAACTGGTCAAAAGATTGGTAACGTTGAATATTGCAAAACACATTTTAAAAGAGAGAAAACATTCTTTTCATTCATACTTTCTGTAATCTTGACTCGCTAAATACTTTATGATATGATATATTACTGATATCACAGTCACAGTGATGACAATTATACACCCAGCTCGCTTAGAGACTCAAAATGGGTCTGTGAAGAGAGAAAAATCTGAGGACTGTGATGTTTCCGAAATCTGATGGATGTGTTTTAGAAAACCTTGAAAATGTCTGATAACTATACTATACCACAGCTACAAATTATTGCATCATTGCAATTGAAATACACAAAGATTACTCGTACAAGTGTAGAATTTCTGAAGTAATATGTATTCCCAATGTTCCCTCATAAATCTGAACTACTTCAATTATTGT